AAATTACTTCTATCATCGATGTAAGTTAAAACTAAAAATGTATTGCCTTAAACGGAAGTAAGACCTGATGAAATTCATGGCTTCCTAAATACAGTCATATTGGCAAAAACAAATTCAAACTCATTTATTTAGTCTAGGCTGTTACAAGCTCTTGTGAAAGTCAAACGCTACGCCATCGGTTCGTAAATCTACGGCGGGAGACCTTGTACTGAGAAGAACCGGCAAGAAACTCAGCAAGGGCTATTTTTTTCTCCCTGTTTTGTTTCATACAGTGTCGTCAATTGAAAGATGACATCAAAAATTGAATACATGTGTTGATGTCAACTTCCATCACATTAATATTATTAATTAACAAAAGTTAAGTATAGCTAGGTACTATTTTTAAATTTAGAAGTGGCGATTAAACAATTTTCAACCAAATCAGCAAAGTAAAACGACAGTCTATTATGTTAAGCCCAAGGTGACTTATCATTTATGAAATCTTTTACAGTATAGTAACCTTTCTTAAGGAGACATGTTTTTATACACACTTTAAACTTATTAAAAGGTAAATTAATTATTTCTTTCGGTATTTTATTATAGACACACATTTATTCTATAGCGTGCAACAAACCCAAACCTACGTACAGTAGAACTCCAATTATCCGAATTAATGGGGACCGGGACCCATTCGGATAATCAAATATTCGGATAATCGGTTTTATTTTTAAAAAATTGCCATTGGAGAGAATAAAAGCTACGTTTTGATATTGCACTATTTTTTTATTGAATTAAATGAAAGAAACATGAATTTTCGCGGGGGGAAGTCAGTGTAGGCACAACGGCAAGTTAAGACAAGTCAAGTCAAGACTTGACGCGCAAACACTGGCTTCGCGGTGGGAAGAATAATAGCGCACTTAGACTTTTTTTGGCCAATTTTTTGTGATTCGGATAATCGGCTATTCGGATAGTCGGAGTTCGGATAATTGGAGTTCTACTGTAGTTACATTTGTGGCATTCGTAATTAATGCATTACATGCACCATATGCTATGTGCAGCACGACACGAGTTCTCCAGATGACGGGCTCCAATTAAACGGGAATAGTGTTAATAATACCTACGCTTCTAAATATAGCTGAGATGTTACAATTTGCGCGGGGCGAGACGAGTATGCCATACCATGGCGGATGGGAGCCATTTGCGATGTTTCCCGTAAACAAAAGCACTTGAGCGTAGAGCGGCGACGGTTGAATTTCATCCAATTACAGAGTGCACGCAGATTCGCGCTCAGTTTTTTGTGTTGAAACTTTATTTTCGAGCAACTAGAATTTCGAAATAGACGACCTCCGTGGCCGAGTGGTTTGTACGCCGGGTTTCATGGCGTCGCCGACTCGAGAGGTCCCGGGTTCGAATCCCGGTGGGGGCAGATGTTTGTGTGATGAACACGAGCATTTGTACTCTAGTCATGGATGTTTAATGTGTATTTTCTATATAAATATACTAATATATGTAAAGTATATGTATTCTATCCGTGACCCTAGTATCCCATAACACAAGCCTTATAGTGCTTACTTTGGGGCTAGGCTAATTGGTGTGTGTTGGATTTTTTTTTTTTTTTTTTTTTTTAACTAAAAATACTCATTACTGGCGACACATCGTTCGCGCGATTTTTGCAAGAGCATCTGCGCTTCGACCGCTCGTCGCTCCTCCGCCATCTGCCGCGGTTCGCGTCTTATACCGGCCATACACACTACGAGAAATCGTTACGATCAGACTGTACAGTTCGAACGGAACAGTTTATACGATTTCGTTTAGTATAGGAAACTGTGCAGTTTTATAACATACACGCTAAGATTTATCGGTACCGTTCCGACTGTACAGTCTAATCGTAACGATTTCTCGTAGTGTGTATTACCTCTCACTTCTCTATAAAATTATTGAGTTACGTTACGTGGAGCGATTTTTCAAAAGAAAAAGCTGTTTATACCATATTTTATTTTAAACACTTGTGGAGTCACAATCACAACGCACTTTTTGGCTAGCAAATGTTAAAAAAGAAAATATGAACTATTTAAATCTAAAGAAAAGTTTACTAGAAAAAAATCCACGCGGACCAAGCAGCGAACGGGACTCGAACCAGCACCCTTCGCAATCCGGGCGAATGAACTAACCATTATGCTACCACTGCCAAAAGGACATTGGCCGCGTCGAAATTTTCCTAGCCTTAAGCTGCAAAACAGCATCTCTTCGCATTGTAGGTAACCCACAATTCTTTTTTTTCTGGTAAACAAAAAAAATATTTTTTCTAGTAAACTTTTCTTTAGATTTAAACATCTAGCACTTAAATGCTTAAAAATAAATAAAAACATAACTATAATTGCTATTTCTTCTTTCAAATGTTAAATATTTGAAAAAGTATTCATTTGATTTGATTTGAAAGCTCCAGGTACGTCTTTAGACCCGCGGGAGGGAAGAACTAGCCCCGCATTATAAATGGCTTCCCATCGAGTTAGGGCATACTATCCAGGCCAATCTGCCTGATGATGCCCCCAGAGAGAGACGGACAGATTCCTCAACGAGTCGAGTCCAGAACGTCCCGCGGTTCGTGCCAATGCACACAAGGGGAGTTAGTGCAAAGAGGAGGGTCCGAGAGGGCGCTTTCACGGTTGGGGTCTGGGGCAAAGGCTTGCTGATACCCTTCCCCCATCGTGTGAAGATGGAACCGCAGGAGGTGTTTTTAGTGGGTAGTCGCGGCGCGGCGTGAAGTATGCCCCGTGGAGTCCCATTACCCCCACGGTAGGGCACGGTCGTGGGAAGTGCGTAAAGGCATTTTCACCTTAGCCAAAAAAAAAAATGGTACGTCTTTCGTCCGTGGAGCGCCCGTGTGCAACCGTAACCCTAGTGCCTTCCAGCAAGCGCGTGGTCATAATATAAATGGCAGCGGTTATGTTAACGGCGTATGGAGGAGCTCGATGGCGTAAGTGGTTAGCGCGTTCGGCTGCGATCGTTGAAGTTAAGCAACTTTCGAAGTGGTCGGTCATTGGATGGGTGACAAAAAATCTTCCATCTCGCGTTCCACCGTGCTTCGGAAGGCATGCTAAGCCGTTGGTCCCGGCTGCATCTGCAGTCATTAGCACCCGCCAATCCACTCTGGGCCCGCGTGGTGGGTCATGTTCCAATCTCCCTATTCCATCCATAGGGAAGGCCTGTGCCCCGGCAGTGGGGACATTAATAGGCTGATGATGATGTTTACGGCAAATCAGGTTCCACTTTGACATTCCTTGCTAACTTTAACCCGCGCACTTCACTACGAGAGTATTTCACTCTCAGCTTTATGAAATGTTACATCACAGTATATGGGTACACTGTTCTGTTAAATGTACAAACTCCAGTATATACCTACTCATCTTTGAGCTCTAGAAGTCTAGGTTCTTAACACAATCAACCCACGCAGTCATGGCAGGGAAATTTCGACATCCCGTTTAGACGACGCCAAAATTATTTATTCAAATTTCCTAAAAATAGGTAATAACGAATTTGCATAACTCAATATCAACTTGCTCTATTTAGCATTATTTGGGTTAGCATGATCCGTTGTTTGTTGATTTTTGAACTGAAACTTCGCGTTGCGCGTTACGAAAAGTGTGTTCGGGCGAGGCGAACGGGAGTTGAGTTGGGGGATATAAGCAAGAGAAACCAGTTCGCGCGCACATTTCTTTCTCACCTTCTCTTATAGCTAGTAAATGAAATATGTATATGTACATACATGTATATATTGTACACACACACATATATATATACATATATACAGATGGCACAAAAGCACACTCGTTTTTTTTATCTAACATACAGACACGAATACATACAATAATACAGGGCTTGTTTACCGGTTAATTTTCAAACCTAAATCAGTGTCAAGTACATTAGGAGCGTTTTATTTAGGTTTGGCGGTTTTCCTAAAAAGCGAAAACAAATATGTAGGTTTTGAATCAATTTAGCGGTTTTTAAAGGGTTTCATTTCGCTCCTACTGACGGCTGAAATAAATACGCAACTACAAAATAAATAACTTGACTCACTAGACGCTAGCAAACGTGTCAATAAATGCATCAATCGCTGATCATTAACAAGTTGTGACTTGATTAGTTCAAACAAAACAAACTTCAAGCGATGCCGACGCGTGCACGTGTCGCTCTGGATTAAATCGGTTTATTAAGGTTTCAGGTACCGCTTTCATTTCGGACGCGCTCCGAACGAAACCTTTATTAAAAACCGGTATTAACCTTTATTTACCGGTATTTTTGAAACCGGTTTCAAGCCCTGCAATAATATTTTGGCGACCCATCCACTGTTGCTTCACTCTGACGATGGTTTGACGAGAGTATCTATCTCAAGCGGTTCGTGGAGTACAACACTAAGCACATAATGTTCAGCGCATTAATTTTCACAGCGAAAGTTCACTTATTTAATAAGCGGAGCGCAACTTTAGAGAAATGAAAGCTACACAAAGTTTACCGATCTCGAAAAAGAGAATTTAAAACCAACATTTAGTAGCCGCTACTTTGATCAACTAGGGTTAGTTTATTGAAAAGTTTTCGACACTGCGAGTTAGCAAGCACTACTATATATAGTGTTTATCACAATTTTGTCATTTGATGGGTATCATCACGCGAAGTTTAGCGGTTCCATGTCTGTGGTTAGCTTGTGTGGAACTGGTGAAAATGATTTTTTATATTGTCTCGGATCCAGGAGGATGTGGTATCGTAGCCTTTTCAAAATCTAAGTAATGACAATAATAAATACACTGAATGTCACACACATTCAACAACTCGTAGAGGCTTGCCTTCTAAAATTTCATTTATAAAGGTTTTTTTGGCAAATGCCACATTCCTCACTTCTATCTGCGAGACTAGCGTATCACTATATGAATCGTACTTTTGCCTATCGCCTGTGTACAAAACTACTTTAAGACTTCTCTAATGGGTAAAGGATAATATGATTAAATATACGCTTATATTTCTAGAATCACTTGGACACCAACACGCTGGATATGACGAAGAAGGAGCACCGGCACTTGGTCCTGCAAATTGCGCTAAAATGCGCGGACATATCCAACCCGTGCCGCCCCTGGGAGATCAGCCGCAAGTGGAGCCTCAAGGTGTGCGAGGAGTTCTTCCGTCAGGGAGACTACGAGAGGAAACTGAACCTGCCGGTGACAGCCCTCTGCGACAGGCACACCACCTCTATCCCGAAGATACAAACAGGTAGCTAGTAAATAGATGGGGAATTGAAAAAGCCTCAACTTGGCTTAGAATGCATGCATGGTAGTACCTTCTTAGTATAGTTAGAATGGCTGAATCTGATAACGTTTTTAATCATCGTGTTTGTAGTGATAACTATAGAAGGCTGGTTGAATGTTTCAGGATACTGGATGAAAAAAAATACGTGTATTTTTCTATACATTAGCAATAAATCATGAGAAGATTGGATTTATTTTCCTAAAAACCTTTAAAACTAATTTTACCGGAGTATCTTTCTAATATTACAATGTTTTACAGGGTTTTTCAAGTTCGTCGTCACGCCACTGATAACAGAATGGCACAGATTCCTGCAGAACGACCTATCGGCACAAATGCTAAAGAATCTGCTATACAACCAAAGCAAGTGGGAGACACTGGTTGCACAAGAGCTGGCTGAGGAGACGGGCACCGAGATATCCGACGCGGACATGGTGGACGATGATCTAGAGACATGTTCCGGGACCAACATATCTGACAGTTCCGAACTCCTCCTGCCTCTGCGCAGAAGCTCACTTAACCCAGCGAAGCAAGTGCGGCTCAAAGACCAGCTGCGTCGGTTCTCTGTGCCGTTGAACGTGTTCCAAGATTCCAAATACAAGCGGGACAAAGCCAGGGCATTTTCGACAGATCCTCAATGCCAGAGTAGCATGCAGAGCCCTGACGGCAGCGAACACTCCCTGCACTCTCAGCTCAGCGTGAGGGGTCATTGCGAGCACCAACGACCGAATTCCGAGAGGGTGCTGAGCACAGAGAAACTGCTGCCCGACTCCTCCATAGCCTCAATAACAACACCGATTCAAGCTACCCGCTTAAACACGGTTCTGAAGGACGGTTGTACGTGGAAGTTGATTCGCCAACAGACTTTCCCGCCACTGGAGTCAGCCGCGCGCGCCATGCATAACCATCACATGGACACCACCAGCCAAGAAGACTCGATGTACCCGTCTCGATTCCGTTCCGAAGTTTGGATCAGGCCCGACGCCGTGAGAAGGGACGGAGGCTTTAGTAATTTATTCAGGAGGAACGATTCTGATAAGACTGATAACGGTGATGCCTCGCAGAACAGTAATGGTGGCACGGAACCTAAGGAGAAGGAAAACTTGGATCCGTACGTGCGACGGGAGACCTCTGTGGGCAGTCAGCTGCGCGACAATTTGACGGCGATGCATCACAGCGTGCTTAGCACGGAGCAATTGCAGCGTCGCAGGAAGTCCATGCCGGCTGAAACTGTCGCTTACAGTGAGTATAATGCCACAATATTGATGTTATTTTATTTTATAAATCCTCCAACAATAGGGATGATGACTCATTTAAATAATTTAAATTAATTTAATCAGGTATATTATCAAAAAGTATTGGTCACGTATTTTTTCTTTTTTCACATAATATAAACATTGCAAAGATATATTGATTTGAAAAGTCGCATGACGTCACGTTTGAATACACTTATAAGTGAAAATTCACTCAAAAGTGACGTCACGAGCCCCTACTCCCAAACTTTGACGCACTATAACTTTGTAATTTTTTGGTTGATTGCCCAAAGAAAAAATACGTGTCCATTATTTTTTGATCATCTAACTGACGGACTTAATAGAATTTTGTTTACTGTACCCCGTCATCACCCCTATTCGTTGTGTCCGAAAAGGGCGACTAAGTTTGAAAGTATACTTATATTGTAATTTTCCAGCTAATGTAGCTTAGTTGCAATAAAAGATTGACTATTGTCTAAGTTACTAAATATAAGCTTGATGTTCAAGTCACATCTACAGAATCTTAGAGTTTACAAGATAGACTCGTGTCTGATATAGAATCAAAGTTTTTTCGTTTAATGATTTCAGTAATCTAAACGCAGTACGAATTACTTTCGGTTATGAGCACAGTGCCTGAAATGCAGAATGCCACTGCTGTAATAATGCCTAACACGTCATTTTGACTAAAAAGCCTAAAAAACGGCCTAGAATGAAAGATGCCATTTCTCCAATAATACCTAAAACTCTAATTGACTAAGAAGCAGATTGTCTACAATGTATCGTGACTATAATATTTGCTGTCAACCGTCAATTTGAAATCTTTAAATATAAATAAATAAAAAAAAAATGTTTTCTTAAAACAAAAACAAATCTTCTACTCCTTAAAAATAAAAAATACCCTTAAACACTCTTTAAAAATACAAATATTTTTTTAGACTAAGAACTGGGCATAAGACCAAAATAGACTTTCTTATAATTTTCAAGTGCTAGTATCGAATTACAACAACCCTTTACAACAAAACAAGAGTTTCCATAAAAAATTGCACATTAGGCATTAAGAGCCCTTTCACATTTTTTGCAAAAAATCGTAATTTTTGAGCGCCTTATTTACCCCCCTTAGAAGATTTTGACTATTTCCAATAGAAGTTAACAGTAGAATTATTCTTCCTATTGTAAGTTAATGTAGAATATTTGCAAATACTATTTTCCTTTTTTTGTACTGATCGTTCGACTGCAGCTAGTTTACAGAAAAAACGATAATATGCACAACTTCAAACGCCTGAATCTCTCAATAATGTTCAATAAATTAGATCAAATTAATTACTACGACATCAGAAATATGTTTTTGTTGTAAAATAATGTATTAGAATTTTGATTTTCTATCTCATTAATTATCAAAAAAAAAACATCTAACCTCCGTGAGTTTTCCCAATAAAGTATGCAGGTTTGCCTCATATTTTATTATTGAATTAAATAGAATTACTATCAAAATTTTTCATAAAACTAATCTAACATCATTGAACTACTGAAATTTGTTAATTTTTTATAATTAGTTCATTAATAATTATTTTATAAGACTCTAAACATCACCCGTAAAATGCAATATATACTAGTGCAAATCTACCTATGCGCCGATCAGTACGGCAGCGGCGCAACTTTGTAAAAGGACTCTTAAACACCTAGTCCATTTTAGACTCTCCGATTTGAAGACGCTATAATATTTAGGCAATTACATTGTCTACGCATTCATGGGTAGGCAATCTGCTTCCTATTGACGTGTTAGGCATTTTTGCAGCAGTGCCATTTTGCATTTTAGGCAAGGGCGGATCCAGGGGGGGGGGTCATGGGGGTCAGCCCCCCCCCCCCCCCCCCGGGCTGGGTACAGATGGACCAAACCCAGGGGGATTTTATTTAAGTACTTTCAATATTTAATATACCATGACTACATGACCACCCCCTGGCGCCAAAGCTGGCTATATGACCCCCCCCCCCCTGGCGCCAAAGCTGGCTATATGACCCCCCCCCCTGGCGCCAAAGCTGGATCCGCCCTTGATTTTAGGTACTGTTCTCATTACCGATTACTTTGCCTTTCATCATCATCATCATCATCGGCCTATTAATGGATGGAATAGGGAGATTGCGGGCCCAGTACGGATTGGTAGGTGCTGACGACTGCAGATGCAGTCGGGACCAACGCGCTTCACGTGCCTTCCGAAGCACGGAGGAGCTCGAGATAGCAAAACTTTTGCTCACCCATCCAATGACCGACCGCTGCGAAAGTAGCTTAACTTCAACGTGCGCCATCGAGCTCGTCACCTTAAAAGCGGGCGCGACTGTATTTCGTACCGTAACATTGTCCTCGTTGAATCTCAACAGTACCAAAGGAAAAGAAGGTGCGCGAAATGGCTACCGCATTGCCGCAGTTCCTTAGGCGGACTTTGTCCAGCAAAGATTCTTGGACGCGTCGCCGCGGTTCTGCCCCCTCCCCAGTTGCGCCCTCCGAGTTCCGCGGCCTAACCGCCTTGGGGGCACTGCGGCATAGTATCAACGGTGGTCGCAGGAAACCGAACCCCATAACCACCTGCCAGCAATGGCTTGCTAAAGCCACGTACAACGTGCAGGAACGCAGCCAGCAGCTGCCGCGAAGGAGCTCGCTCCCAGTCGAGGTGCTTACAGGTGCTAATGACGCTCGCTTTTTACTCTTAAGCCAGAAACATATTAACGTGTCGTGGCGTGACGTGGCGCATCGGTTTCATACATTTATTGTGGGTTACAGAGAGATAGAGAGGTTAAAGCGTCGACACGACACTATACGTAAATTTGTCTCTAACTATAGTAAACTAGCTGACCCAGCGAACTTCGTACCGCCCTAAAAAATAGGGGTTGTCCAGCGGACAAAATTGTGAATCTAAACCATTCTCAGATCCCCTTGAATACACACAAAAAATTTCATCAAAATCGGTCCAGTCGTTTAAGAGAAGTTCAGTGACATACACACTCACAGAAGAATTATATATATAAAGATGTATGAAACCGATGTGCTTCTGGCGCGCCACGACACGACACGACACGTTAATATGTTTCTGGCTTTACCCTTACATTCATTTGATTTGCGACGCTTCTGTATTTGTGTTTTGTTTTGTGCCAGCACTCGATTTCGACGCTACGCTTGGCTATTCGTGTTTGCTATTCGTGAACTTGACTTCGGTCTGTCTTCTTTCTATCCTTAGGAAGCATGATGAAGACAGACCGTTGGCAAGTTTACAAACAGCAAATACGAATACCCAAATGAAGTGCCGTCATCGCATGGTTATTAATTTTTGCTCATTGTTATTTTGACAGCAGGCCGCCATGTTCGCAAATAGCAAAGACAAATAGCGGTGGGAGGTGCAGGCATTACATCTTTTCTATCTCTGATCATAGCGGATATACACGAGAACATATTGATATGCCGAGTCATCCATAATTAAATAGGGTATTTGACGGTATTAAAAATAAAGTGCCAATTGTTAGCATCTGTGTTTAGAATGAATATTGGCAGGGCTTTTTACTATTTTTAACAAGAAACCCACGAAAAAGATAATAGTTTTCTTATCTATTGTCACGTGACTCAAAACGCTTGGGATTGGCGGAGCCTAAAAAACGTCACACGCAAGTAAACTTCCGGTTAAAGTGACATTACGTTGTATCGTTTGACGTTTTAATAACAGTCGTGTGACGTCACACACTAGTAAGACGCCATATTGTTCAGAAAAACGTTTTCGCGGCAACTTGATTGATTTGGTTATTTTTACTGAAATACACAACAGAATGATGAATATCCACTTTTTACGGACTCCATAAACAACAGTCAATAACGTGAGATCGTTTTCTAAAACTTGTCAAATACTCTATTTTTACATAATTATATATTTATCGTCATCATCGTAAGCCTATTAATGTCCCCACTGCTGGGGCACAGGCCCTCGGCGTCATACACAGGGACAGGGCACAGGACATATATATTAAAGTCACTTTTTTAATCATTTATTGCTAGATGTTTAAATATCTCTTATCTATTAGACAAGTCCGTCCGTCTGTCTGTCTGCGGTGCTGTTTCAGCGGCCAAACCATAAGAGATAGATAAAGAGAATATTTAAGTTATAAGTTAAAAATAGTCTGATAAGACTACAAACCGGATTTGAGTAACGTAGCACTTCCGGTTTTCGAGAAATCACGAATTTCAAACGAAACCACACAAAATCTCCGAAGTTCTCAATTAATTAAATACATTTTTTTTTAAATCAGGTTTTGGTGAACATTTGGTTCACTGGTTTGCTAGTATCATATAATTGTACCAGAATATACCCTATTGAGTGATAATTAAAATTCATAAGCTTCACTCGTGTATATCCATTATGAGAATTGCAAACTATCTAAATGTATGAACCGTATATATAGCGTTGATTTCCTTTCCAATAGTGTGTAGTTTCATTTATTTAATTACTCGGTGATGCAGCGAATGTACATTGAGCGTGTTCTCATAATGGCGTCTATTCTCAAAGTCTGCTAGTGGAATTTCGAATTAACTCGCAACATTTGATGCTTGAGACGAAGCAAATGCAATTTCGTTTGGGAATGCTTGTTTCATTATTATGGAGAAGGCAATAGTTTGTCTGTGAAATATAAATCCGATCTAACTTTTGGTTTTGGTTGTTCATACAATAAAGACCAATTGCAATACAACACAGAATATCTAAAAATAAATTTATCTATTGAAGGCGTTACGTTACAATTATAAATAGAGATATTTTTTTTGTAAATTTCTAAATTGTAATGCAAATTATTTCAAATGCACGTGTCAGATTTTACTAAACGATTAAGTTTACTATTTACTAGCATTTTGAGATTGGACGTCTCTACCGAGCCAGAACTTAGGCCCGTATTATAGAAAGATTCTCAGTAATTGATCTAGTCTTGAGCATAGTTAGAAAGGGATGTCGCTCTATATAGCACATAGCGCCATCCCTTTCTAACTGTGCTCAAGTAAAGATCGAAACTTAGTTATGGTAGGTATACAAATTCCTTACCCAGAACCGACTGCTATATTTTTCTGTCATTGTAGCCCCCTTTCTCGTGTGATGCAGTTCTCCTACTTTGTCAACTATAAGCGATAAAGAAAGCGCTCCACTGACTCGTTTTTCTGAACAGTGTACAGTTGGGCTCGTATTACAGAATGACAACTATATGTTGATCTTTACTTGGGTATAGTTAGAAATTGATGTGGCTATATGCCCTGGGGTAATTATAATAATCATAATAAAAATCATTTATTCAGTTTAGGCTGTTACAAGCACATATGAATGTCTAGAAGCTACGCCATCGGTTCGTAAATCTACGGCGGGAGACCTTGTACCGAGAAGAACCGGCAAGAAACTCAGCAAGGGCTGTTTTTTTCTCCCTGTTTTATCATTTATAGAGTCGTCAAGTCAATTCCCATATAGTATGCTATATATAGCATAATCTATTTCAGACTAGATTAATTACTGAGAAACTTTCTATAATGCTGGCCTAAGTGTCGTATTGGCTCTGCGCCAACTCCTTCAAAATGCAACTCCAGCAGTGCTGTCAAGTTGAAAGCTGAGCTGACGAATTGATGCATTCTACCCGTGCAGTAATGTTTAAACTTATTCGAAGTGCCCTATTTTGCTGTTGAGAATTTTAAGTTGGCGCAAAGCTTGATTTGCTTAGATGGAAGGATGAATTATGCCGATCCACCAATCTTTTATCTATTAGACAAGTCCGTCCGTCCGTCTGTGGTGCTGTTTCAGCGGCCAAACCGTAAGAGATAGATAAAGAGAATATTTAAGTTATAAGTTAAGAATAGTCTGATAAGACTACAAACCGGATTTGAGTAACGTAGCACTTCCGGTTTTCGAGAAATCACGAATTTCAAACGAAACCACACAAAATCTCCGAAGTTCTCAATTAATTAAATACTTTTTTTTGTAAACAGGTTTTGGTGAACATTTGGTTCACTCGTTTGCTAGTGTCTAGTTAATTGCATTAAAACTATCGCTCTGTTTCAGGTATATAATTCGAAGGAGGGCATGCCTTCATCTCACTCCAAGTAATCATGCGATTTAAAGTGGGAATGCTCAAATTTCGATTGTACCCCCACCCCTCGTAGCTTCGAGGGTTGCGTCGAATGCGCCGAATATCGTCACACGATCGTCGCAATTCGACGCACTTCAGGTCAAACCAATTTTGAATAGTTATCGTGTACTGTTAATGGAAGGCGACGGAGATATCAAGACGGTTCGCAGGCGTCAGGTGGAAAGCCAGTCCTGGCCCCTACTTGCTTGGTCTACGAATAATACATATAATAAATGATTAGGTTAATAGTCAATGTTTAGACAATAGATGCAGTTACATACATACATACATATATATAACATATTGACACCCCGTTAAGATGGTGAATTCCCCACGTGTTTACTAACTGTGAATTGTTCCCCGATGTATGTGCACCTCCCGTTGTCTCTATCCACTGATGTGTCCCGACCGTCTCGTTGAATTTAGCTCAATAATAAATATTACCTACGTAGAACTAAATAACATCTCTCATCTTGTGTAATTTACCCTTTTTCTAATAGTAATTTTACACTGTTTGTGGCCCCGACTTTTAACCAATTTTTAACCACTGTATACTTCTTGTAATAATAATAATTACTATAATAAAAACTTTAATATAGTTTAATATAATTGTATTGTATACATTTACATTTAATAAATGACAAAACGCTAGTTTTCATAAATATTCTACCATAGTACAAATTATTTTTATTTTAATATTTTAATTGTGAATTTATTTGGCCTTTTCGATAAAGGATTGCGTTGAATAGATTCTCTCCTTTTAAATAAATGTGAATTAATATAATATGCGATGTACCAATGGGAAAGATTCAAGCGAAAGTTATAAACAAGTTGTTGTTAGCAGCAAAAATAATCTGAGTCTCATAATTATTTAACTTAGTATTCGGATGAAAGTTAAAATAGTCATAGTTTTAAGTATTTACTTACTTGCGGGGAGCCATTGCCGAGTAGTCGCTCTTTTTGAGCGAACGCTGTATTGTGGTACATTGTTTATTTTAAATTTATATTGTTCGTTAATTAAGACAAAAATCACAGTATTAATTGAGTACTAACTTAATTGAGTATAACACGATTGATTTCATAAACGCATAATAATTCATAGATGGATATATTTTTTAAATTTTGTATTATAAGTATTGTTTAGTAAGATTTGTTCATATCCAGTGGCATAGCAGGTCTCTTGTAAAGCTTATGAAGTGATTTCTTCTATTTTACTTATTTTTTTTTATAAACGTAGGTTTGTAAAGACGTAAATTTACGTGCACAGCACACTTTGCGAATGATGATAATATTATGTTAATTAGTAAATTTAAAATTTGATGTTCTTTAATGTGCTGAAATTTTGATCAACAACAGACTCTTTTCAAAAATAATTTCTTGGCGTTTATGAAACGCTTCTCAAAGATATTGTATAAAGTTCCAATGGTACCTAATGACTTTGGCCCTTGTAATATTTGTCATAATAAAAGATTTTTATATTGTGTAATTTGTTTTTCGTTCGTTAGTACTATTTAGTTAGGATGCAGTGCAAAGAAGAGTAGATTTCAATGTCCATAATAGTTAATCTCAAAAATAAAAGAAAAATAAAACAAAAAAAATATATATGTTGCAATTGAAATTTCGCTGTAAATAAATTGCTTGAAACCAAAATGAGAAAATAAAAATAATATAAGATTGCATAACAGAAAAAGATGTCGTAGAAATATTTTAATCACTTTTTATAATAATTACTTAAATGGTACAACAAACACGAAAAAAAAAAATAAAAAAAAAATATTTTCTTGCCCAGGACTGGTGTAACAACAGGTTGATAATGAAAGACACGTAATATATAATATTCAATAAATAATCGCAAATTCTTGATGCTTATCCGTGTAATGTGTCTCCTCTTCTTTGTATTGTAGCAATGTTTAAAGTAAGGTAAGTTTATAGCGAGTACTTGTTCACTTTGATCTAATTGTGTTGTAGGCTTAACACCGTGTTTCTGAACAGATGTAACCAATTCTTGTAACGTCACAAACCCGCTGAATCTAGTCGTTGAATCATCAAGCGATCTGTATAGCTTTACAATAATGAGGAACAATCTGTCCTATATATACCATTGTATGATTCTTACTTGTCTCATTTAAGTTATACAAGTCTTGATCCCAAATAAAAATATTACCAATATTAATGAAAAAAAAAAATTTTTTTTTTTGCTGATCAAACTTCTTTTTATCAAACCAATTATAATAAGCGTGTTGTTTTATTTTATAAATGGTATAATTTATTAATGAGATTTTATCAAATAAGACGAGTAAGAAAATACGCTTTTTATTTTTTTTTCTATTACAAGAAGTCAGTTTGTTGTTTGGGTTTTTGCGTACTTCACAAACATGATGTGCAGTTTTGACCTTTGATCAAACTGAATTCTTGGTAGAATATGGTGACTTACAATTTCTTAAATATCTGAATGTTTTATATGATAAAGGCCTGTCTCCACTGTATTTCTTGATACATTAAAATTTGACTGTGAAATTAGATGATACGCTCAATAGATATACATATATATATATTTAGTATATATATATATATATATACAACACATTCAAAAACAATTCTAAGTGTCGCATTATAAGTTAAAGTAATTAACGAAATCTATGTAAGTACCTACTTAATTTAATAGCGACTTACTGCTCACCAAAATTCGATGAAGTCATAAGCTCAATTTTTGGAAATAGTATTAATTAAACTTCGATGCAGTATATATAATAAAATAAAAAAAAAGAACTGTCATGCAATCGTAGTGCAAATTACTCAATATAATAAAGAAATAAATATATTAAATATCAATGTTATAGACTTTCTTTCTATTCTCTGCTAATAGCAGTTCAATAGATAGAGCCTGAAGTCACATTTCTCCAGATGTCAACTTGCTGCACTGCATTATTCAATATTAAAATAGACGTTATCGTTTTAAATGACGGTTAGCAGTAAATGTTTGTCATTGATGTATTCATAGCCATATACGTGAAGCACCCTACATTATACACAATAATACAATACACAACAAGTTATATAAATTGATAGTAGTGTTTAAATAATCAAATAAATGTTTTAAATAAAACCCGTGTTTAACAAAAAAAAAAAGATTGTAATTGATGTTCATTATACTACAACATTATGCTAGATATACTTAGTTTTGACAATTCCAACATTTTGTCTCAGAATTATATCAATGTTCGTCATTATTAAATTAGCGAGTTGTTAAAATGGAGGTGATTTCACTGATTTGTGTGTTATAGTATTTTACCTCTGAATGTCACAATTATAATGATCTAGAAGAATTAATATTGAATTTACCACCATCAACCCTAATGGCATATTTAAAAGTTTAGGGAACAATGTCAACAAATCTGTCAGTTTCAAATTAAATCTGTGAGTAGATGAAAAAGTTAACTGTTTAATGTAAACTTACGTGGATGTAATAAGTTCGGCGTAGGGCTCGACTCTCAAAATTTAATTTCGATCGAATTTATCACCTTTTCACTATTAAATTGTTCATATGATTTAGTTCTCATTTCTCTTATTTTACAGTAAGAAGTCTTATATGGTTTCCCATATTCTTGCTTATTAATTTGTGTTAATCTGTTTCTCCCTATCAGAAATTGTTTCAGACCCCCCTAGCATTAGCGCCGTGATATGATAATTAACGCTTTTTATCAAGCTCAATTGTCAAAACACTATGAAATTTGACAATATTACGGGATAAAAAGCATGTTAAAATGTAAATTGTGGTGATCATGCTACGGGGACTGAATGAGAAATTCGCTAGTTGGCATGTCAGATTCGAGCTCTACGTCTGTGAGTCATATAATAATCTGTATCAATATATTATATTATGTATGTAAATAATAGTGATGTACCTTTTGGGTCAGAAAGTGGTATGAAACGCTTATTACGAGTAAAATGGTTGGTACAAGATAAGATACTGAGAAGAGACTTCTTATATTTTTTTAGATGACGACAATTGTAACCACTGCTATATTGTATCCTATTCTGTCGTTATATATATATATATATATATATATATATATATATATATATATATATATATATTTATACTTATATATAGTTATCGCTGCGTCTACATCACGCCCGCCTTGGGGAAAAGTCATACGCTTAATTTTTCTCGATTATATATTGCAGATATTGCATATAATTAGCTGTTACCTGACTATAGGTAGGTACATTTGTTACAAGAATTTGTTTCAAACATTAGCCCTTCGATACTTGATTAGCTCTAATGTGAACGAATTTATAATCAATAAATATTCAGCGATGAATTTACGAAATTAGTCTCATGATTGTAAGCTTGATTGAGGGACATATTTTTCGTCCCTATCAAAATTAATGTTTAGGGTATGTCACCACAGTATTGTTATATGAAACTTTATGAAATCACAACATAATACATTTGATCGTACTTATAATATCAAAAGAAAAAAACTATAACGAACTATAAGATCAACCACACATCAAACAGTGTGCTGTGATGGCTGGCAGCTCGTTGTAGACACAGCGATATATACACCTGTCTTTTTCTCACACACGTCGCCTCTAGTGTTGCCGATCGATAGTCGACTATCGATGATTAATCGATAATCTATCGATAGTATCGATACTATCGATAGCACAGAAAAAGGCAATACTATCGGATGAGTTAAATACTATCGGTAGTTTAACAATTTGCAATAGCATTAGTCGATCACAAACTTTAGTCTAAAACAATCGCTAGTATCGATACTATCGATAGTATTGTTGCAGATAAAATCAACAGTATCGATAGTATCGATACTATCAATAGTTTGTTATTAACGAACTACAACAGTATCGATAGTATCTATAGTATTGCACTCATCCGATAGAACTGCCTTGTTCTGAGCTATCGATAGTTTCGATACTATCGGTTGTATCGATTCTATCGATAGGGTATATGATTTTCGATGTAAACTGTCGATAGTTTCAATATCGATAGTTCGGCAACACTAGCCGCCTCCTACTAGCGAATAACAAAGTGCATAACACGAATCCGTATTTTTTACCTAGTCGGAGTGCTTTCAAAGTACATTGTACAGTTTAAGTTAGTGAAATAGTTTTTGTTATTTATTTTTGTTATCCAAAAATTGTTGATTAATTTCGTTTAGCCCAGGCTAAGAGCACATAACGTATTGCACAAGAGAATGTTACTGTAAGATAGTTTTAATACGCTATGAGAGGCAGAATCAAATAATAACAACCAATTAACAAATTAGTTTGGATGCACTCGTACGGGGATACTTGTTTGTGTACGGTTTAGTCGGTGCAAGAGTGATGCCGCCATAATAATTATGTTTCCACATTTAATTATAAGCATATAATCGTGTATTCAGCTTAGGCTGTTACAAGCACTCGTGAATTTCTAGAAGCTACGCCATCGGTTCGTACTGAGAACCGGCAAGAAATTCAGCAAGGGCTGTTTTTTTTTCCACCCTGTTTTATTATTTACAGAGTCGTCAAGTTGAAAAATGACTTCAGAGGTGATTCATGAAGTCACCTTTCATAACATAATACATAATTGTTCAATCATATAAAGATGTAACCTACAGGGTAACGCTAAGGCCCCAATGTCTTTTATTTATTTCTTTTAATTCTGTTTTAAAATAAGTATGAATGAATAGTATTTATATCAATATTGTGTAAGTTATTGGTGTCGATTCCGCCACGATTTTCTAAACTTAAAACTAAATTTAACATCGTCTCTCCTTCTCATTCCGTATAGAGAACGACAAGGATATCCTGTTGTCAAATTTAATTTTAGGATTAAAGCTTCATGCTTGAATCGACACCATTGTTTCTACTTGCGAATGAGTTGTATTCGTGGCGTTTTTAGGCATGTACTATGTATTTATGTAGTGTCAAACTGTGGAATACGATAGTAGGTTATGTCTCGGATATGGGTGGTTGTGGTACCGTCTACAATTCCGATTTTCGTAGCATAAGTGATTTATCTGATTTATTATACTATTGTACAGGTCGCGGCACGTACCTTTAGCGCTGAACAAAATGCGATGGGGATAGCAACGGCTAACTAGAGCCGAGGTCCGAGTCTCAGAGACGCCCTCTAGTTGAGCCGACCCCCTCAGGTTCGAGTGGTCTGGAGGCTCCAGACGGAGAGGAGACCCCCGTAGGGAGATGCCATCCGCGGAATACCTCTAGAGCAGAGGTTCCTATACTTTTTTGTGGGTAGACCCCTACTTACCTTATATTGATTTTTTGTAATTTTTTATCTGGAGCGAAGTTAGTGTAACAAGATGATACAGGTTTATCCAACTTCAAAATGTATTGCGACCACAAAGCGAATATCTTACAACTTACAAAATCTTATAAACATATATATAACTAGCTGACCCAGCGAACTTCGAACCGCCCTAAAAAAATAGGGGTTGTCCAGCGGACAAAATTGTGAATCTAAACCATTCTCAGATCCCCTTGAACACACACAAAAAATTTCATCAAAATCGGTCCAGTCGTTTAAGAGAAGTTCAGTGACATACACACTCACAGAAGAATTATATATATAAAGATATTTTTTATTATTTCATTAGGTACTTTTATAAATAATGTATGTCTTTTTAATAGAAGATAGCATAATGTAAGTAAATAAGTACTAACAGTGAGGTTGAGAACCATTATCGTGGACGCCCATTTTCATTTCATGGACCCCCAAATTTTTTTTTCGCTGACGTAGGTAGACCCCTCGCCGGTCGTCATAGACCCCTAGGAGTCGATATAGACCACTTTGGGAATCACTGCTCTAGAGGCACTCGCTAATTCTCGGCTTGAGGTCTACCTAGGATCTCGCTGTATCCAAACCGGGTGATGCTGTAAAGGTCATCTACGAGCAACAGGCAAACTGCGCATGGGTACGTCTGGAGAGTTAAGCGGCGCAACCCACCTCGTTTCCCCCCAAGATATCTTAATTTTTACTTTGCGCAATGAGGGCTATCGCGTATGAATCCGCCGCTAGAGGCGCTAGTGTAGCGTGAGGTCTCCGAAATGTCAAAGGTTATTGCTTGTTGGTTGACTACGCGGGTTTATTTCTAATTAAAATAATGTTGTGAATAATTGGTAACAATTCGGCTTAATTATGGCAAATATGAGTTATGTGGCAAAAAATGTCAGTTATTAAAAATTTGAGCTTA